CTTCACCCCCCGCCCCTCCACGCTGAGCTTGCCAGCAGAAATGATTCCTCTTTCATCCCATACTTATGGATCTCACTGTTTAAACTGAGCACCTGAATGTGGTCATTTTCAGAATGGCTACTAAGAGGATTTGCAGTGTGTGCTTTTAGTCTTCGTCGAAACTGCGGAGTAAGAGACGCAGCCATGGTTACCTCCGCTTCTGGAATAGCTTGGGTGGAAAATCGCTCTGAGGGTCTCTGCCAGCATCCCCCCCCCCCGTCACGATTACTGAAAGAGCAACAAACTGGGCAAAGGAACCAATGGCCACTGTGTTAGGCTGATTGTTAATCAGTTATGTTATTTTCATAACCAACCCACTGTTAATGTCAGCCATGCTTCCTGAGCATTATGGTTCCAAACGGCAGCATTTTTTATTTATTTTTTTTGCAAAATGAGCAACATACAAAAGATTGAAATAGAAACAGAGACGATACACAATACCTATAATAGTAAAAATTGGGTATAGCAGCACTTAAAACAAAACCTTAATCTGAGTAAATTACATTTCTGCACCTTATTCAGTCCCTAAAATGCTAGCAGTGAGTGTAATTAGCATTGCCGCTTTGGCTGGGTTTAATATTCACTCACCGAGGGTTAGCAGCATTTAAATCACATTTGGATTTCCCAATGTGGGAGGATCTCGCTATAACAAATGCGATTTTTGCCTTTTAAAGAAGGTAAGGAAGTTATCCGCCATGAATGGAGAGCGAGTTCAAATACACTATAATGCAGTTTTGAGTTGCATTTAATGTATTTAATAGTGACTCTTAAAGTGCATTAGAGAAGAAGGATTGAATTTCACTTATTTGATGCGGTTTTCAGCACCACTGGCAATTTAGGTACGCACTTCTCCTCCTTATCATTCCTGTCATCGATTCCGTCAATGAAGACCATCTTTAGCTAACAATATGCCGAATTGTACATCTCTGTCACTCAGACGTGCCTTTAAATATAATGATAGCTGGTTTTTGGTGTTAATGTGCACATATTTCCACAAACAAATGATGCGTCTTGTTTGTGTTTTTTTAACCCTGTCCCTGTTCAAAGGCCTTTCTCGCAAGCATTCTTCACTGGCTGCCTGCCCAACAATTTGTGCTAATCCAGGCGGCCATTGTTATTTTACTCGCCATCTTAAATAAGCCTATTGGTCTAAATAGGACCATTAACAGTGGCTGATAACTGTTCCGCTGCCTCTCAATGAACCATCAATGGAGACTGAGGGGCTCTGGATTGGACAGCCATGCTGCCAAATGAGAAAAGCAGAGTTAGGTTCTCTTGAGTACTGGAGAAAAATCGGAATCTCATCGAATTTGTATTGGGAAGATTAGTGACCACATTAAATACGTTCGAGGGCATTCCTAAATGCAATCCTTGTCAAGTATCAGCTATGAATATTACATAATAAGCAACATAGAAAAACATACATTAAAACACAAGATTTGATTCCTAGGTCAATGACTTTGACTAGCTTTTAAGCCATGTTCTAGACAGTTTTATATGAGTTCAATAATGTAATTAGAGACTGTTGAACCATTAATCATTATGTTTGTTGGTTCCTGGATGCTGCCTGCTCACCCGTCCCACAGACCATCGATGACTGCATACACAAGCAATCAATATAAAGAAGCAGTTATTGCCTTTAGCGTTTACCATTTGCATGTAGGTGTAGCCAAAGTCTTCATCAAGCATCGCTCTAATAAAAAATAAAACTGCAGTAACACTTCAGCAAAAAATGTATTTATGTGAATTTAGGAAAGATGTAAATTGAGGCTGTACAAGCTGTCAGAATTATATGGTGGCCAAGCTTTACCTTGTACCTCCTGGAGGGTGATTTTACGTATGCTGCCTTCCACCTAGGAGCTCCTGTGATAACCTCCAAATCGTTACGTTTCTGACAGGATAAATGGTAATTGGATGGATAATTAATGCAGAATAAATCCAATGAATCTGTTTATCACAACATTGCCTGGGAACCGAGATAAAATATATTGCAACACGAGAAACGCAAGCGTAGCCACGGAAAGGAATGAGACTCCTACATGCAGGCAACAGGGTGCGGAAGGTAGATACCCAAGCCCTTTCTGTTTGCGACGCTATAGTGGAAAATGAGGTCATAATTCCGTATCAGTGATCTAAAAAATTGATTTCACAGCAGCAGGCGGGCTGTTCTGCCATTATAGTCCCATACTTAGGCCCCATAGTGCCCCAGTCCTCTTTCCAGCGACTTGTAGACCCCTGTGACTGCATGACTGCTTTGCAGCAAATGACCTTGGGTACATCATCAAGATTGGATTCTCCGAGTCCTGGCAACGGGGATGCAGTCAGCAAGGGACTGTGCTGCAGCAGAAACAAAGACACCGATAAGAATGTCCTCAAAGGTGTTCGGAGAAGACATCAGATAATTCCAAAAATTTCCTTCCCACTCTTAGCCTGTTTTTGACCAGACAGATGAATCAACTGCTATCTGAAGCTTCGCCCAAAGAGGGAAGAAAGTAAAGGTTTGATCAATGTTCTGTATATACCTTTAAATGCAAGCTGAGTGATCTGATGGATGCCCAACATTTATCCTTCAGTTCATTCGTGGACCTGCTTATCTCTACAGCAATAGTGACAAGATGCTCCATGCCCTTGATATGTCCATCAACTTGACCATCCATATTTAGTCAGAAAAGGGGACTAGGGTTGTGGGGGAGGTGGAGGTAGTCAACAGGATGATGGTCCATGGCTGCTAAATGCCTACCACGAATAAGACTATCGGCCCCCTCTTGTGGTTGATCTGGGTTAAGACTTGCCATTAATTTAGCCTTTCAGCTGGCCTTTGTGGCAAAGACATGAGACACCATTCATTGAATGCTTTACATATCGGACTCTCATAAATGTGTTTCAGTGGAAAAAAAAATTATAGAGCGCCTCTATTCAGATTTGATTGTGTCCCTGAAATGACTCAACATCATAAATGATTCACGATGACTTTGCACATTTCCCTACCCCAATGGCAAATGGATTAATTGCTGATTTCATGGCTTCAAAGATCGCAGACTGAGGGGGTGAGGTTGCAGAGGGATGTGCCCGGGGGTAATATTGGACCATATCACGAAGCGGGTTTATCACTGGACCACAGCTGAGTTGAGGGGGATGTTAAAGGAAACGGATGCCAGCTGGAGTGATTCTTTTGCAGTGCGTTGAGGGACAGATTTGGAGTCATGCTCAGTACAGAAGATCTGACTTCTGCCATATGCATCATCATGGGAGGAGAACAGTGGCCCAATTTGGAGAGATGTTAGGAGAGAACAATACCACTTAACACAGTATTTCCCTGTAATTTTAATTATTTACCTCACTCAATAAGTGGGATAGTGTGATGCTGAAGCGTGTGTTTCCTGTCACCTGGGAGATCAAAATGATCATATATTGAACGAGAAGAGCATTATGGGTAGAAATATCATTAAGTGATCCTGGGGAAGTTTGGACAGGTTACCACAGATCCCGGGGAAGCCAACACAAGTGGTTCTAAAACTCAAAGCACTGAATCACTTGGTTTGGCCCTTAGTATTTTTCTCAGACGTCAGAGTAATGCATCAGGGTAGCCTCGTTAGCCATTATAAATGAGGACGTCAGCTGTGCTCTGTGGCACATTATCAAGGTCTGGAATAGATCCGATGTTCCCAGTCCTGTGGTGCAGGGCAGTTGACTTCTGGCCCATTGCAATGGGCCCAAATCATCTCCAATGCCTGAGGCTGAAGTCACAACTCTGATGCTCACGGGTCCCATCTGAAACACAGATTAACAGCATCATTAAGGGTGCGAATGCAAGGGCTTTGAAGGGTGTTAGCCGACCGCACTTCACTCTGTTGAACACTAGGGGGTAGAGGGGTCTCTCTTTGCATTTCATTAATCTCTGATTGCACTTCAAACATTATTCCATATTCTCAAAACTTCTCAAGGATTAAAAAACATCAAGGCTCAGAGTTGTATCGTACTGCCTGTAATGAGAGTGTCTGCGTCCCTCCTTTAGGTGCATCATGGTTATGTGAGAAAGGCTGGCATTGGAGAACTTTGGTTTTGAAACTCGCTTTACGACAAAGGAGAAGGACTGCTTTTTTCCCTCATTCCTGGAAAAGAAAATTATAATGCAGAATCACTCAAGTGCCACTGTTGAAAAGGAGGTCATTATTTTAGGAAGGAGTCAGCAATTCTGCATCCCCACCTAAAACAAAGTGCTCCTCGTTTTCAGCAAATTCCATTTACGCGAAACGTGTGCATTTGCATAAATGTGCCCGGCTACGTGCTGTAATGTGTAGCTTTGTAGTTCAGAGAGAAAAAACCCGATTGCAACCAAACAGAGGGATCCATGGCAACCCCGTGTGCTCAGTGCGCCTTGTTCCCTGCTCCCATTTAACAGGAACTGTCACCGCGGGTGGCACAGAAGCAACAGCTGTCACAGAGCACATATTGAGCCAGTCCAGCCTGGGTACAAATGAGTGAAATCCACGTAAATAGCTGTTCTCGTTAAAGAGGACGTGTACCTTATTAGGTAGCTGTAGGAAGTACACAATGTACAATGAGCCCTAGAGTCCTGTGGGTACTTTTTATTATTATTATTTTATTTATTTTTTTTACAAAAAGAGACATTCTTTGAATATCCACACCAAAGGCCTATTAACTACTACGGGAAAATGCAAGTCGGCTAATATGCAACTATGCCCACCGACTAATTAGCCGCTCAGCCAAAAAATCACGACAGACAAAAATAAACTATATAAGTAAACAATTCATGTTGTTCCCCTAATTAACTGGAAACTTGTCCTTTCAGCACCTGGGCGGCCCCTGCCAATCAGAGATGCCAGCAGTCACCGCCCACCCCCGCGCTGCTAATTGCGACATTCGCACCTGAGGCGACTGAGTCGTAATTAGCTAGGATGCAAGACTCAGCTCCCGGTGGATTGGGGTGAAACTATGCGTGTGGATCTCCTGAACTGGCTTCGTGAGTTATTGTGCTTGACAGTGTTGCCGGGAAGGAGTGCTAGACCAGTAAGAATACTTGAATCTGAAGTCAAATGGCTTATATATTTTTTTTTATTTGTGGTCCACCATGGCTGTGGTGCCCATGTAGATGTCTTGGCACTAAGTCTTATTCAGTGTGTGTTTAAGACAGACCAATATAATTAAGTTACTGTTCAGGTACCCGGTCATTTCTTTTTTTTAGCAGATGTTTCCATCTAAACCAATTTACATCTTTGAGAGAAAGCAAGGCCAGGGAGTTCCTGGAGAAACTGGCAATTTCAAGGGGCCAACAGTGCACTGAGATTTGAGCTGGTGACCATTTGACTGCAGGCATGGCATCCTAACCCGTTCAGCCGAACACCACCTCCTGTAATTAGTGGTATGTAGGGTTGCTATATTTCCATTCAACACAGCAGCTGATCGAAAATGAGCTATTTCAGCTAAACAAATATCTAAAACATTTCTTGCTGTTTTATTTTGTACATGAAATAAATGTTTTTATACAATACCTAATTTTCTAATTTATTTTCATCCAGTGTGCCTTTAACTCTGATATGTATTAGAAATTGTAATCAGCTGTTTTTGTTTGCAGTGTTAAGAAAAGAAACAACCCTGAAAGTTATACAGCATAATCAGAATCTGTGAAACAACAAAGATCTCAGCTCTGTAGAGATGATATCCACTATAACTGTGCCATATTATAATAACTGTAAAAGGATGACAAACTGACATCTTTTTTATAAAGTAAATAATGAATTTTTTGATGTCGGTCTTGATGTCAGGATTTGCAGTTCAGTACTAAAGGGAAGATAACTTTCTCTGATTTATATGTTATGCAATGGTGGATTATTTATTAATTAAATACCACGACCTGCCAGAATGTTTTTAATGTTGTGATTTTTCTTCCTTTGGCACTCAAGATGCAGCAATCTTCCTCTCATTACAAAGCTGCTTGGGTTTAAATGCATCTTTAATTGGATGGATGCAGCAATGCATGTCGGCTGAAGCGTGCCAGGCTAACGCGAGGCTTCGACACTAACCATCTTGGGTCCGACGCAGAGCTGTGCAGTTCTCTGCCTGAGCTAACTAGGTGAGCCTTGTTACGCAGGTCCACAGCCACTATCAGTCATCCGGTCAGCGATGTAGTCTTGATGGTTAATTAGTGGCCATATCAGGATATAATGAACATCATGTTTGGAATTATGACTCATTATCGAACCATGAGTTACAGTACTGGCACGTGGAGGAACATATGGCTTCTGGGACGTTTTCTGATGGTTGTGTCTGAGTTTCTTGATGCATTTCCAGGGAGAGAGTAATAGCATCTCATCAAGCCTGTTCCTGATTGTCTCTCCAAATTTCTGCATGGAAACTCGTCTGTGTAATTGTTACACTGAATGAAATAAAGGCTTTTGTCTTACATCAGCAAATGTAAGTGACATTCAGAACTGCTGCATCTTCTGAAACATCCCTGAAACATCCCTGTGTCACATGTCACTCAGCTGCTTTCTGATTGGCTTCCATTCAGGAAGTGACGAATGTATCCACAAAATCGCGTTATTGTTAAACTGAAGAGCTGGACTGCTTGTATTATTCTAGTTACACTTTCTTAAAATGAAATCCAAATGATGGAAAGTATGAAGGATGAATAATAATGAGTTAAATGCAGAAAAAAATCCTGTGATAGGAATTATTCTTTGTTATATTGGCTCTGTATTCTGAAAACCCAAACTGATCGGATAAGCAATTGATTAATTGACTAATTAATTGGGACTCATGAAAATAAACGAAATGCGAAGACAATGGAAAGAGAAATGGGTGGTGATACTGAGTAATTATTCTGTGAATGCCAGCCATGCTGTAATGACAACGGAACAGTCATGTTTCATTAGAGAAACCTGCAGGACAAGCGCCGAACTGTTCAAAGTTAGTTAAAATTGTTCACTGATCCGGTTCCGGAGAAATTCAGCTCATGCTTTAGACACTGTTCGTTTGTCATATTTTTACCAGATACAGGTCTAGCTTGTTCTGAGAATCGTGCAGAGATGAAGTCAGAAATTTCATTGGGCTCATTCAGCCGAAAAAATTCCAGTCTGCCTGCCCGTCAGACATCAGTTAGACATCCTTTGGTACGTGTATTGAGAATCAGTGGTCGTTGCTGGGGATCTGGTGCATCTGAACGCCATGGTTCTGTTTTAGAAGGTCTGTCCATTACCAAAAGAGTGCCATAGAATTCAATTCTGTGGTATGATCTTAAGGAAAATTTTGTGTAGAATTTGCCAAGGTTATACAAATATAATATAAAAACATACCCTTTAAATGGGACACTTTTAAATATAAGATAAGTGACTGGCTGGAGTCACCTTACACCTCCAAGGTTACGGGTTCAAATAATTCAATCAGGTCTCCCATGTGTGGTCACTTCAGGCTGATGCTCCGCCTCCATTTGGGCCAATGAGTGAATACTAGGAATGGTAAGATTCGCCGATTTACATCAGTGCACCGATATAATCATGATGCGATTGCCCTGATTTCAAAAAAGTGTGCAACAGATACAATTTGGGATGAACTCAGGATGCAGGATTCTGACATCTTTGCATCAGTAAAATCTGATTGATTATTATGTACTTATTCGTATACCTTTATAATATAAAAATATGACAAAAATTCGATTTTTAGATTGATTGCCCCTCTCTAAACTGTTTCCCAAGAGCGTTCTCTCCTATCTGGTTCTCCACTGCTGTCAGTCGCCAATTCCTATGAAGTCTTTAGTCTCATGTGAGTTGGAGACGTGTCCAGCAATGCAACACATCGCATTGCATGGAATCGCACTGACCTGCAACAGGGTGGAATCATCGTATCGCATTAGTAGTTGCTTCATATGTATCTCTAATGCATCATATCATTGGCAATGCATCTCGATGTGTATTGCATCGGCCTCAGTGATGGAGATGCACGTCCCTAATGCGTATATGATCAGCCTGTGATGGATTCATGGCCAGTGAAAAATGAACCTGCGCCATGTACTTGCCTGAATATGAGCTCAGGGTAATTTTGACCCTGAATGAGCTGAAAGGACGGCGATCTCAATGGAGAGATGGATGAAGAAAGCACTTTGTGCCCTTTATCTGAATTGCCATGTATGAGGGAATTTCCTCAATCTGGATGCATTTCATACAGTCATTTCTCTCAGTGACCTGGGAGGCTGTTTGCATGAAGCTCAGGAGACTGGTGGAGTCTTCCTCTCTGTGGATCTTCATATAAGTGTTTTGATAAATCAGTGGCATATTCATTCTTTCCTTCAGCTGCATTTTGGCATTGAGGGCCCTGGGTTTGATCAGTGAGGGCCCTGGGTTTGGTCAGTGAGGGCCCTGGGGATGGTCAGTGAGGGCCCTGGGTTTGGTCATTGAGGGCCCTGGGTTTGGTCATTGAGGGCCCTGGGTTTGGTCATTGAGGGCCCTGGGTTTGGTCATTGAGGGCCCTGGGTTTGGTCATTGAGTTCTGTACTCACACAATGTCCAACGTGTGCAAAGAGTCTTGCCTGTTACAGAGGGATGCAAGTTTGCAAGATGACAAATGGACAACCATCTGTTGGCTGACGCCATATTGGATTCCCTTAGACCACTTATTCTGATATGTGGATTTAACCAGCAGCCTCACGCCTCCAGTTCTGCTGAGTTTGGTCCTCTGGGGCCTCGACTGCTCACTGTGGGTGGAGAGGTGCACCTGCGAGATGGGTTGTGTGCCAGACTTCGGCTTCCAGGCGCTCTCTCTCTCTCTCTCTCTCTCTCTCTCCCTCTCTCTCTCTCAAGGGATTTGTTCTCATCCTTAATTTTTTCCCCTCCTCTTCCTCCAGACGATGCTAATCAAGCACGGGCTCAGTACCTGGTCCCTAGACCCAGGTTGTCGTTTATTGCTGTCTCTTCCCCACAGGTGTGCAGCCTAGTGCGTGGCCCGCCCATGGCCTGGCTACAGCGCCATCTCTTGGGGACAGCGTGCTAAAATGATTACTGCCGTGTAACTTCCCAGCAGGCCAATAGCACAAAGGAACTCTGATTCTCTGATTCTCTTACAGTATAACTTTTATCCTCTTTGGTTAAATACACGGGACCTCAAGCCCACACTATACCTTCAAGTTACAGCACGATACATCTGAATATCAGCACTGTACCTTTAAGTCATAGCACTGTACATGTAAATCAGGGGCGTGGTACGGATCTTAAGACATCTGGAGCTTAGCCCCATGACCTCATGTGTCCGCAGGTCACCATATTGAATTCTCTCTCTCTGAAGTTACGATCGTGGTAGCACTTCACAGGTTTTTGGAAACGCATCCCTAGATGGTTGGTTTGCATGTAACTCTCAAACTGAGAATATGCCTGTTAAAACAATAGACCTAAACAAATCAATCAGGGCTGGTTTGGTTCATTCAGGGCTTCTGCCTCCAAGGCCCCAGGCTTGTGACGTAAACCTTTCAAACTTAGCACTGTCTCTTTAAATCTCAGTACTGAGCTAAATTCATGCTCTATGAATGAGGTCTGTGGGGACCCAAGTCAGCTGAGCACTTCTAGGCTACAAAGGCTCATGACTCAGATGCTTGGGTGACTATTACTATAATTAAGTCAAGTGTTTATTCAGCGTAAAAAGTCTGACCATTCAAATGACTGAAAGCATGGAAAACTTTTCATGTGATTCCTCCCTGTTCTGAAGCAGACCACTAGGTCACCTGCAGACACATGACAAGGGGGCAGTTTGTTAGTCATTTGTATTTGATCTGTCATCACAGTCCAAACCTGTAAAGACTTCAAAATATAAACAGTGTCAGGATAAATCGGACTGACCGGATAAATCAGATCAGGGCTGAATAAAAAGAAAAAAAAGGTTAAAGTGTTTTGATTAGGAGGTATATGAAGCTGAATGTCCCAAAAGCAGGGAGTAACTTTGTAACGGACATGGATGGGTATGGTCGTTTACATATGTTAATGATTCCAGTTATTCGTATTTAATGCATGTATGCATTCACAGTTAATGCATGCTTAATGCGTATTTTGTTGCATGTTACAGACAATAACAGCCACACACTAATAATCCAGAGGTGCCAGTTTTCTGCAAAGTGTCTTGCTGTTTTTCCTCCAGTGAACATGCCACAATGTAATAAATACATTGAAATATGAAAACAAGCTCTTTTCCAGAAAAGATGGCTCTATGTGCGTGTGTGTGTGGATTATATTTCTATTACATTGTGGGGGACCAAATGTCCCCCACAGTGTAATATGCTCTTATTTTGATGTTGTGGGGACTATTTTTCAGGTCCCCACAAAGATCTGTGAGTACAATCAAAAAACTAAAATTGCATTTTGCTTGGTTACTTTTGGTTAAGGTTAGGCTGGGTAGGGGTTGTGATTGTGATTCGAGTTTTTCCCATAGAAATGAATGGAAGATCCCCATTTAGATAGGTGTGTGTGTGTCTGTGTGTGTGTGTCTGTCTGTCTGTCTGTGTGTGTCTGTCTGTGTGTGTGTGTGTGTGTGTGTGTGTGTGTGTGTGTGCGTGTGTGTGTGTTTGTGTGTGTTTGTTCGCTGAATTCCCCCAGTGGAGAAATCAGCTGCCACGTTATTACCGCTGCAGCATTTGCTTAGCAGTATTTAACTGTATAAAATCATTTGGATTTTAGGGTAACAATGATAACAAACCATCCACAGGCAATGCAGTTTTGTGTGGTAACTTAATTTTTTTCCCCTCTCACTGCTGGGGAAGAACACGTCAGATCCGATCTACAGAGGCTTATAGATAACAGCGTAATGGCTTTTCAAGGTGATTTGCCCCAGGTTGCAAGTAATAAGCTTCCTACTAGAGATTCCGGATTTGCTGAATTTAAACCCATTTCAGCTCTGCAATCTAACAGCGGGCGGGAGCTTCGTGCTTCTGCCAAAATCACACTGTTTCCGTCTGAGAGGCACCGTGGCTTCGCAAGCTGTTTAATATGCGGCGATATGTTTTAAAAACTTGGTCGTTGCCGCAACGCCGTGCGCCTAATCATCTCCAGAAGGCAGTGCCGCCGGCCTTGACCCAGAGCCAGCGAGATCGTAGACATTTTGGTCCGAAAGGAATCGTTGTCCAGACAGAAAGCCTCATTTTTTACGCTGTCGAGAGTTTGCTGACTCATCGGTTTGCTCTTCTGCTGGATCCATTTGTATTTATTCAGATTCCATTTTAAAGGAAGTCAGTGTCTATTCTCTCCTTGCTTCCTGCAGAACTCAATAAAAGCTGAATTAACTGTTATGAGTTTCCGACCTGTTGTTGCTGAAGTGCTATTAAGGGGCAATAAAGATTTGCCAATTGTGCACCCA